GGCTTCGGACATGACGTATTTTATTTTGTAGAACAAAACGTTCTTGTGTTAACCAGATCTTATTTCAGGCTTGTAACCAAATACACGTTCTAAAGATTGTTGATTTCAATACGAGGGAACTGGAAGTGGTAAAATGGTGTTTTCTGTGTTTTAGGACTCATCACTGCACAACTCTTTAAAGCCAGTTATTCTATCAATAATAAATAATGTGATTAATAATACAATACTAGTTTGGGGGGCACACAAAATTAAGTTTGATGACCTTGAGTTAAGATTATTTGGACAAATGTTTAAAAAGGTCAAGAATTAGCTTTTTCATGAATTTTGTATAAATGTAAATACTTGTTAGACTTGCTCAACACCACAGCCCTGATTCGGCCCCTGATTCACTCTGGACACCAACTTTCCGGGTGAATCTGTTGCCCAGAGACCCTGGAGGCCAAGTTCCATACGTTTTTTATGTGAGGCTTGCCAATGCTATAAAAAGCGTTTTAATGTCGGACACAATTGGACAATTACCCCTGCCTCACACATGCATGCATTCAAAGGAGAGACGTTTTCACAGGCTGCTTGTTTCTGAGGACCTTCCAGGCCTCGCCACTTTCTCAAAGCTGCTGGACAAACTCCTAATCATGCTGCTCATCACCTCTGCCAGACTTCCTTACTTTTCTTCTCCTCCGAGCTCCGATTCCATTGCCTGGCACCTGCCCTCGGTGTTTGACCCGAAGCCAAGAGCAGCAGAGCCTTGTGTGAGGTGGGAGTAGACCTCTCCCATTCACACTATATCAACTCCCCTTACACACACACACTCATGCCATTGCACTTGTGCTCCCTTGCCCATTCACTTAGTCATTTCCGCACATTTGACGCGGAGGCTATTAGTCTCACAGTAGACTCCATTTAACACCAATAAGGGTTTGCATGGGCACAGAAAGGGGAGATGGGTATGAGTGTGTCCTGGCGGTGAGTAACTTCGGATGTGACTGCGGAGAATCAAACACAAAGAGGCAGCTGTATGGGAGGCAGCAAGACAGCTCAAGGGCAGGGAAATGGTTTGGCTTCAAAACATTCACTGGCTGACCAATGATAAAGGAAGCAGAAATAGAGAAGCAGAATTATATTTTCTCTTATTTCATGGCTTTGCTTTACAAATTGCACCATTCCTGTTTAGCATTGCCCAAATGTTGCAAGTACCAATGAAGTATAGCAGGGATATTTAGTTACAAATATTATATAATGTTTCTAAGTCTCATTTATATGGCAGCAGAATGACCCTCTCTTGGTCTACGTATGACAACAGAGGTTGCGCTAGACTTTTTCGCTGCCCGTCATTTTGACAGACAGGATCGTAAAACTTCCGTCAAAATCCAGAATTACCCGTCGGCCTTTACACAACTCTGACGGGGGGGAGCATGCTCGTGAACTGTCAACGGGGGGGGGGGGGGGGGGGGGGGGGGGGAGGGACAGTTCACATGCGCCGTGTTATGCATGGCTGCTGCACCTCGCGGGAGCGTGCACAGCGTAAAGCCAAAGCTCACAGACATTTCAATGATTTGTACGGCACAGTTAGGTTTGGAAACGGTATAATTTCCTTTTTGGAGGGCATGCATAACACGGCATAACACCGGAGCCTCGCTGCGGGGAAACTTTTGCGCTGTTCCGAGTTTGTTCTAATCTGTCAAAATGACGGACTGCTTTCAGATTTGTCCGTCATTGTTTAAAAAAATCCGTCATAGACGGAAAATATTCGGTTAACGCGACCTCTGTATGACAATCACCACTTTTGTGACCTGAATTAAAATCTCAACTACATCTGGCGTTTGATACTTTGAGGAGCATCAATGGAATACCATTCAGCCTTATTGCATTGAGGTGTATAATCAAAAAACATAAAAAGACAAACTATTTTTTTTTTTAGATTTCTCAGATTCAAGATCAAAAGTGCTAGGGGTATACAAATTACCAAAACTCAAACTGGATGTTTTTGAATGGAGTACACTCTTGTATCTTATCGTTCATGCGACTCCATGACATGTATGCGTCCTATTTCCAGCAATGATAGGGCACGAAAGTTTCGCCAACAGAAAATTAAGAGGTTTACTATGAACATGCCGAACAAAACTAAACATTGCACCTTTAACCAAAGCAGGCTGTTAAAACCTTGAAGAACCAATGATATTCAGTTTAAACACAGAAGTCTTCAAGTTCAAGCTTTTACTGTGATATTCCCTTCTAAGAAAGCTTTACCTATAGGCAGCCTATGTTGTTAAGAATTCCAAAGCTGTACTGTAACACGGCTTAACACAGGGACAAAGAGTTTATCTTGCCTGTAGTGGAACCAACACATCCAATGACAGTCGCCATTTGGCAGCAGAAAAGGGGGAACTGCTATGTACAAGTGATGAATGCAAACTACTGGAGAGCGGAGACTCCCCCTTCGAGCTTTTACGAGCAGAGGAAGCTGGTCAGCTTGGCAGAGGGCTGCCTATCCATCTCAGCACCTGCACAGAGGACAGGACCTGCATCCCTACAGTGGACGAGCAACGAGACATACCGATGAGGGACCAGTCCGCATAAGTTGGGTCTGACCAGTCCTAGTAGTTCCTGCTAGCTGTAGGAATATAAGATATAAGTAGTTTTACTGGGGAACCTGTCCAGGGTCAATCATCTCTCTCAGTCAATGTGTTCTTGTCCCTGTTTGCCTGTATGATATTATATATATGCAGTCTGTGCTTTGATGCGTATTAATGCATTTATTTTTACTGTTCCTGAGCTAGAAATCATAACAAATCCAGCCGGCTAACCAATCAGAGCAGACGAAAAGAGGTGCTGCAGAACATTAAAACATGTAAACATGTGACAGCAGAGGCCCCTTTAACTAAGCAATAACAAAACAGCAAGAGACCCTAATGATCCTGCTGCAAGGTTGCTGTTCTAGTTAAACATTTCCTTGCCCATATATAGCAGAAGGCTGCTGTGAGGCAGAGGCTTTGATTGTCAAAGGGGTGTCAGCACATGCCCCGCGGCAGTCACAAAGGTACGCTATCTACAGTACACAACTGACTAGTTTGCACTGCGGCCTCTCTGCAGTTGACGTCAAGCAATGGAGGCCGCTGTGTGGGTGGATGTTGGTGTGTGTGTACTGGTGTGTGTGTACCCGGGACATGCAGGCACCGGCAGGCAGCACCACAAAGAGAAAGCTGCAGTAAACCTCCACTGTTTTATCAGTTCAGTCCAAGGGTTCAGCAGCTGGTTGAGAAACTGAAGTGTTGGTGTTGTGTTCTCTGACATAACATAATACGGGCCTGATAGAAGTACTTTCAAATGTACTGATATTCACAAGGCTGTACACCTCCTTTTTTTTACATATCTACTAAAAATGATTTCCCAACACTTTACGATGCTCTCAATCCACTTGAACTTAAATACTTGCCATGACTTGCTTAATGACCTTTTATACTGACTTAAACAATGTAATACATTCAATGCAGTGCGTTTTTTTCCACCTATTGAGGACAGGCAAGATTTTCATTGCACATTTTAAAACCAAGGAGATGAGTAGTATTGTTGTACTTTAGATAAGAGAAAACATCCCATGTTTACAACTTTGGCAGAGGACAGGAACTTTGAGGTGAGGTGAGGAAAAGTTTTTTATTGCCAACTCAAATACATCATAGTTATTAGTAAAATCTCTGTTGCACTTGTGTTCACCATTTGGATTTTGTCATGAATGCAAGTCAGATAGTCGTATTTACAATAGCTGTAAAATTATATTATGAATGAAAACAGAAAACTCAGTCAATTTTACAATGTTTTCAATGTGGTTATTTAATTATATTTTTAAAAGGCTAACAATAATCCCTTAGATTGACTTATATTCACAACATTATGAATTATAACAGTGGGTATAATACATTATAAAATAATAAAACGTAATAAAACTATGAGAACTAAAATACGCTATGATGTTTTTTTTAAAAAGACATTGTGTTACTTTTAAATATTGCGTTGCTTGAAACTTGACCTTATACATTGCTTTATAAATGTCATTATTTTTATATATACACGGATATAGGCAGATTAAAACACATTACATGTAAGGTTATAATTTGTTATAGAGATGTCTTGTTGAGGATAGAGGCTAAGGATTACGATGCATTTGAACGCAGCGTACTGCTTTTGAAGCCACCGCTCGGAGCTGATAAGTCTCAGCCAGAGCATGTGCCAGTAAACCAGCAGAAGTTGGTTAGTGAAGAATAACTAAAAATGCTTTTTGCTTAATCTTGGAAGACACTATTCCTTCCATTTATATTTTCCTCTTTTGATGACCGTAATAATGCAGACATGCTGTACGCAGGAGAAAGTTCCCCGCCTCTCTCCTCGCCCTTCCTGGTGGCACTTCTAACTGCCGGCTGCTTGTTCCTGCACTATCAATCAGGCCTGTTACTTTGGAGCTGATAAACACTGAGGCCTTCAAGCTGTCAGTGGAATTATTTAAGTATTCCTGCGTGCCGGCGCTGAGAGTAAACATTTTCTTTGACTGATAACACAAACACTTTGGAGATATCCACGAACACACGGACACCGGCATCAACCAGAGAGGAACCTCTGAATGTATTAAAGCTACATGAAGAAAACAAAGATGACAACAACATTGAGAAACAGCCCATCTAAATATCAGAATCAGAATGTTACATATGTTACATATATGCATTAAAAAAAGTACTAAGTTATGATATAATCAAAAATAAAAAGTTACATAATTTTCAAAATACACATCCTGTAACAGTTCTTAGGATTTAGCAGCCAGGTATATATTACACAGTTATTAACGGCATATTATATGCATTAAACTGGGAACAAAATGCGTTTGAATCATAGTTAAAAGTAATTGTAGGAAGGAAATGTTTTCCTACATACATAACATAACCCCTTATTTATATAATACAGTGTCCAGTATGCCAGCAGTAGACACAAGCTTACGAAAACCATTGACTCACCCATTTCCTCGGTCGCCCTCTGGGTCTTTTCTCCCCGGTTGCCTCGGCTTTCTGTTAATACATAGATTAGGATCAATAAATCATTCTATCGTGACATTGGAAACACCTGATCAGACATTTACTCTAGCACAGTGGTTCTCAACTGGTGGGTCGCGACCCAAAAGTGGGTCGCGGACCCGTTTCGAGTGGGTCGCAGATGTGTGAGTGAAGAAATTAATCAAAAACAAATTTTTAAAAAAAGTCCAACTTTTATTTTGAAGGCCCAATTTTCTAATGCTGTGCATGCAGTAGGCGTTGGACTGGAAGTACCGGAGATAAACGGTTTTGAAAACTTCTGTCACGTAGTGATCATCTTCTCAATAAAACATCTTTGCTGATGTTTTTTCGAGTCTTCTGGTCAATCAGAATCCAGATTGTTGCCGGAAGTCCCCACGGAGAATAACTTTGCGGTAGAACTATTCTTTATACATCCATGGGTACAACTTCAGATACAAATGAACACATAATGAAATATGACCCCCGGTTTGATGATTGACAGGTCACAGAACAATGGGAGCTATCTACCCTTACCCACAATTTAAAGTAATTCAGACTATCTCCTCTTTACTCTTCTCTCTGTGAGGAGCAGCAAGCAGTCATAACAAAGTGAAAAACAAACAATGGCATCAATTATTATTAATATGTCGGGTAGCAATAGATTTATTTATTTTCTTCTCAGAGTGTACCAGAATGCGTAGTATGTTAGTATTTCTAAAAAATCTCCTGGGGGAGAATCCACCCAGACCCCCTGCTGTTGGGGTTTCAGCATGTGTGCCTTTTTATGTTATACAGTTCAGTTTTGATTCCATCATCTCATTAAACCTTATTTAAAAGCATTATTTTGTTCTGTGAAGGGATATATGCACTGTACTTCACTTTAATTAATATTGTATGCTGAAAAGCGTATATATATATATTACTGCACGATTTTTTGTTGAATAGATTTGAGTGGTTCAAAATTTCGGGTCGCGATTTATTGACTAAGGAAAAAGTGTGTCCCGAGGCCTGACCAGTTGAGAACCACTGCTCTAGCAGACATCTTAAAGTATTAGGGTATTAGGGTCAACACCACTACAGAAGGTCAAAGTTGAATCAGAGCTTCTTTCAACTGATACATTTACTACAAAAAAATGAGCACCTTTTTTTTTTTTACCAATCCAGGGTTTGTTTTCGACCTTGATCGTGTGGTTGCTCATGTTTCTGGACTTGTTTTGGTTTCATTATCACTGTATTCTAAGATATCAGGTATTCACTTGTTGTAAACAATGTTAGCATGGCTGATAGGAATGATGTCCCAAACTAAAAAACATTTTCATAAAGCGCAATTAACCTTTAGGTATAAAAATTACGTTAAGTGTTAGTATAAGACACACTAAAATGCCAAATTTGGATTAATCCACCGCTAAAAATAGTTCCCACAGACACAATATTTTCTCCTGTTTTAGTCATATTTGATAGAAACTACAGTGGAAGGCTGGTTGTATAATTTCAATATAATTCTATTTTTGTAAGCTGTGAGATGTATCCAGGTCTCGGGCCCAAGTTATTGGTCAGGTGAAATCTTAGTCAAATTGCTGAGCTGCGATTCATTTTGCAGAGAATGACCAGCAGGTATCAGTGGAGGTGTTGAGTAAATACCACGCAGCAGGAGGAGTGTTTCAGCACATCGTCACCCCAGAAAATGTGCTGAACAATATTAGGTCCAATATTTCCATATTGGTGTCAACATCAAAAATAATTTGGGAGCAGCTGAGATGGTGTTTGGTTCTCAAAACCACACCATCATTAAAAATAATAAGAAAATAAGAAAATTACAGAAAATGATGTGGCGAAATGATTACCTCCAATACCGCATCATATTGCAATTGTAGTATCATACAAAATAACGGCAATATATGATATATTTTCGAAACAATTTATCCATAACCCATAGTAAAATACATTTTGTATCTGTTTTTGAAACACTGGCTCACACTTTGTTGTTCACAGGTAAACTGGGCTTTAGAAATGACCTAAAATCTTACAACTATACATTTTTTAACAACTCGCAGGCATGGTAGAATCTGATAAATCCTGTTACTTTTTCAGTTAGTTGTAAGAAATAAGTGGCTTTTATGGAAGTTTTGGGAGTTTTCACACAATACCAGATGTGGAAAGGATGAAAGTCAACTATTTTACATCGAGGTACTTCAATAGTGCTTGATTCGAGTTTGAAGTACTTGTATTTCACAGTAAGGATAAAAAAAAAGTTTTTTCATGTTAAATTACGACTGGTTAAACCCCCCACCTATTTAAGAGAAACAGAAGTGTATTAAGCGACGACACAATAGTGATATCTTGTGTTGTGATGTTCTAATGCTGTGCTAATGCGGGTCTCTATCATGACACATCACACTGCTGGCTCGCCAATCTGTGTGCTGTAATCCCAGTTCTCTGTTTGCGACGCTACATTTTTAATGCAGAGCTTTAATTGTCTGAAACGCAACTCCCTGTTCAATTAATCATCAGTGTGTTTTACATGTCTGAGCTGAGAGATGCGGCAGCACTGAATAACCAGGGATCTCACGCCAGTACAATCACATTTTACTAAAAGTGTTATAGTATAATTTTCTGTGCAGCCACTACTGAAGAAGAGAACCACTTAGCCAAGGGAAAGTTTATGGTTAAACACATCAAATGTTGATTGTTGGTAGGAAATGGGAAGCAAACACTAACTGACTGATCAATCCACCCAGAACAACCATGCCCTGTATATGTTGTTGTTAAGCATGTTAGCATTTGTACAATGTATTAGGTCATGACTGCTATAACAACGCAGTATTTTTGGTCTGCTTTTGACTGTGGCCATACAGAAGAGGTCAGACGCCATTTCCTAGGACCTTGAAGCTTTCACACTCTTTGTTCTTCAACCCATCCACCTTGACATCCTAATGGAAGTAATGGCACAGTTGTCATTATTCACAGAGCCTTGTCAAGGGGGGGTATTTTAAAGTGTTTCAACAAACGACCAATCCGGCTGATGCTCTGCTGACTCCAGATCTTCCTACCCAAAAACTCAGCCTTATTCTTTCCAGGATTATGTCAATGGAGTCTTCATTTTGTGGCGTGCAGGTGTGGAGTACAATTGTTTCTACTTGATACCAGTCAGAGATTGCAGAGGTGATTGATGTGGGCAGGGGAAGTGAACTTTTAAAAGAGTATAAATTAAAGGTGTGGGCTGACCCGGGACTCTTTGATCTGGGAAGATTGATATCTTCTGTGTTTATCATAACAATACCAGATGAGATGAGACTGGATTATGGCGAGAGCAGAGTGGTTCACTTTTCAAAGTGCTGGGAATGTTTACAGTGGTTCATGGTGGCAAGGGAGCACTAAGGCTGCTGTCATCATGAGCCTAACACAGCTTCATATAACTAATGAATGAAGACACAGCCAGTATCATAAACCACAAGTAAGAAAGGTGGGAAATGGCTGTGAAATTCCAAAGCATTTCTCCAGGATCTTCTTTTCTTTGCAAACGTAATCTTTTCTCATTCATCAACTCAATCTCTCATGTACTGAAGAGGATTAGGGCCACATTTTTTTTTAGAGCTGGTCATTTATTTATTTATTAAAGTTAGAATTCTGAGAAAAATGTTCTCTTTTTATTACGTTAATTTTGGAATTCAGATTTTTTTCCTCAAAATTCTGACTTTAATCCCGATCTAAAAATAAAAAAAGACCCTAATTATTTTCCATATTCAATCACACAGTCTCCTCTCTATGTACACAAGTGTTTTAAAATAATGATGGCTGCACCAAGACATTTTTGCTCATCATTTTGGACAGTTTTTGCTTATTTTTTCAAATCAACAAGGAAAATCAACCCTGTTTAAAAACATATTAATAATAACTACAGGTGGTTACTTCACTAAAACTATATTTAGTTATTGATCATGTCCACTCCTGAAGCCATGTTTTGGTTATCAATAATGTACATTGGCAAACGTATGCATCCTCCAGGTGCTGAGGCTCCTTACCTTCTGCGCTGCCTTGGAGGGGCCCTTGTTCTTACTTCCTTTGGGGCGGCCCCTCGGTCGCTTGGGGACAGGCTCTCCACTGGGCTCCTGAAAGGGAGGGGGACATGACATAGGTGGTGGACAGGAAACAAAGCTTTGAACCCCCCCCTATTTGGTCATTGCTTTATGGGTCAAGACCAAGAGAGGAACAAAGCGTGTGTGTGAGTGTGTGTGGCACATTGTGTCTGCTTATGTGTGGCCATAGAGGGAATGAATGAGAGGGATTTGGTATTCATTCAAATTTTCCACTTTTCAATTTCACACTCAAACTGCACAATTTGCAATCAGCATTTCTATAACCTTATCACCTTGTGCACTTCATGGTGTTTCAACATGTCTAAATATTATAGTCAATTCTCACTCCACATACATACTGGCTGCTGTGTTTCTGAGAGGGCTTTCTCTCTCCTACAGTAACTGTAGCCTGCAGTGTCAATGGAGGTGATTTTGGTTTGACATTTTGGTTGGAATGTGACTCACCAGTCTATAAACACATTCACAGAAACATGTTCAAATCCCTCACTTGCCATGACTTCTCTGATTCAACTCAAGAAGATCTGCAAAATCACATTAATTCACATATTTGTCTTTTTACTCATGTTGTCAATTAAAGATCAAGGCCAAAGCTGGAAAGATTAAGTGTATGGAAGTTAATTTAGCATACATAAAGTTGGCTAGCATGTCCCATATATCAGCATGTTTGGAAAAACAATGTCTCACCTTCCTTTACAAATAGAAAAGTATAGGCTACTGAAATCAAGCTATAAGCAAGAAGCACACCCTGTACCAATCAATTACAAAGTCAGCTCACTTTAAAAAAAAAGAATATGCCATTTGTGCAGTTTGATAACTTTAAAAAAAGTCACATCTCGGTGTGCAGATATTCTACAATCTGGATTTGATTGTTTTTTTCTTGCAGTGACTGGACGTCTGTATCTGCAAAGCGGCTTCAGTAAACAGCAGCGGGACACAACTTACTTTTTGTGGCTTCCTCGGTCTCCCCGGCCTCCTCTTCTGGGGCTCCGCGGCCCCCGTGGGCTCCTGGGAGCCGGAGCTCTCCTCGGCCTCGTCCCCGTGTCCGCTCATGGTTCCCGGTGCTGCAGCTCCTCCGTTCTCCCGGTGATTAGAAACGTCACGAAAAAACTTTAAAAGGTCTGTTGTCTGCTTAATAAGTCTCCCACGGGCAGCAGCAGGACTAGCAGCTTTGAAGCCGTTAAAAATAAAGAGGTTTGGCTCAGTGAGCAGGAGAAAGAGCACCGGGGACGGCGGAGCCTGAGACGCCGAGCGGCTGCGACTCAAAGTCGGCTACAACACACCGCGGCGGCACCGGGCAGGACCATGCAGCAGCGAGGCGTGACAACTCGGCACGGCTCGTCTGAGAAGTGTGGGCATAATAACCGCATCCACAGCCCACTCCCAAACCAGGACCCACTCAATGAGGATGGGTTTTTTTTTTTTTAAAGAAGAAGGAGGAAAAAAAGAAAGAAATCACCTCTCCAGTGGGTGGATAACACGGGCGGGGGAGGGGGGTCTGGAAGAGAGCCAGAGAAAACAACGAGGAGACGGAGTCCTGGCAGCAGGCCAGACATGGCAGGCCGCATTTATGAATTAAATTCAAATTTTCACACGTTCTAATGGAATCCGCTGCTGTCGGATACTGGACAGCCATTCAGAGTTCACCTCTGTGAAATATGAAGTGTTTTCTTAATGTTGGGGAGATATATCGCCTCAACACTGAAATAAGAAGCAGTTATGGCTTGTAGCCGCTGTTAGGCTATAGCCTACTCATCAACAAGGACTTTCCAACATTTAGTAGCCATTATGAAAGTAAATAATACATTTAGGCCAGCCTAGTTTTAGGAGTGATAACTAATAACTTAAACATCTAAAAACTGTAGCTACCCCTCATAAATAGTGTGGTTAAAAAATTACTTTGCTAATGAAGTTTTTCTCAAAAAGATCCGAGTGTATTTTCAAAGATATATTTGGCATTTTGGCGGCTTTGTAGGAAAATATATGTTTTGAAAATTAAAATGTAAAATGTCCAAACTCCATGTGAAGAGTGCCTTTTCAGGTGAATGTTTTTTTATAAAACGTTCCGCCTTTTCAATAATCTTATTTTGTGCCTGTTTGTTTAAAACATTGTACCCAAACCTTATCCCACAGAACACACGTAGATACATGCACATTTTAATAATTGAATTTAAACCTGGATTTTAAAATCTATTGGATAGGCCTAGGCTATATAAATCAGGCTGGATTTTGGGGAAATGTGTAAGAAACCATGCCCAGAAAGTAGTCTTGGGATACACGTGTAGAATACTTTAAATTGGTAGAATGGTGCAGCCATAAAAAGTGTGTTGTGGCTTTGAAGCTCTCCGCCGTGGACGTGGAGTGAGATCAATTACACAAGAACAACAGATACAAAGAATAAAGTGCCTTACGTGGAGGACCTTTCCCACGGTCCTGCAGCCTGCTCTCACTGCACAACACTCACCTCTGCAAGCAAAAGTAACTTAATGCTCACTTACATTCTGAGGAATATCATTGAAATGTGTACAAAACATTTATTTTCATAACTTCCTCCCCAAGAGACAGTGGATTTATTGAGATAATGTGTGGTTGATTCTTCTCTGGTATTCACTTCATTCATAAAAAAAAACAGCTCCTGGACCCCCAAAGAAGGGGTTTCTGTGCAGACCCCTCCCCTTCAGACAGAGCGGCGTCAGCATCAAACCAATACAATCAATGGCTGCACAGATCCATTACCAGGGGGTGGTTTCATGCACACGTCTGTGCCTGGCACACAGCTCTGCTTGAGCACAATGAAACAAGGAAATAAATGTGTTATTGCAATTAAATGGAAAGCTTTGTGTGCGTCCGCGACAGAGTGGATACTGATTTGAGCAGCAGGGACACACAGAGGACTGTTCGGCAGTGACCTTTCACCTTCTTTGTTTTAAGTGCCCAACAGATAAATAGAGTATTAGTTTGATCATTAGTAACAGTTTATGGCAAAATTATTCTAATAACTGTGGGAGATCTGACCAAGTCCCAACTCAACAAGCGGGGATTTCATCACCTTTATTTTTGTCAGGAAAAACTAGAAATAGTCCCTTCCAAAAAACCGACCGTTTATGGAATTTACTAAGCATTTTGTATGAATAAAACAATGTATTTGTGAATGGTTGAGCATTGGCTGGGAGATACACACATTACTAACACATTGTTGGTGTTTGTCTTTGCATGTTATTTTTTTATTCTAAGTAAAATATAGAATAATATAGTCTTATCCTTATCCTTAGGGTTAGAATAGTATCTTCTTATGCAGCAACTGTTTGGATAATGTCTTGACTTTGTACATCGTATACTTGTATGATATACATTCACATTCCTTTTTGAGAGCTAGCAGTAATCGCAGTTAAAACACATTTTAGTCCCTTTTTCCATTTTAGTTTTTGACTTTGACTACAGCCTCTTTGCCACCCAGAGTCAGTTTTAACTGTTTCCCCTCCAGACATGTTCCTCCCAGGCTCCGTCAGAGCAGGAGCACATATGTGATGCATTTATGGTGGAGTATGCAGAGACGCCGTCTGCCAAAATTCAGACTCTTTAAGGAATTTTATTTCTATCTACTCTCAGATTACACTATTTTCCGACAGATTTTCGGGATATCGCGCCACAAGATTGTCCTTAAACCAATAAAATATACAGTTTCTCCCTCCTCCTCAATGCTCAACCATTCCTGGAAGTCACTTAGCTTCTTCTCAGATCTATAAATAGTCTTTGAGATTTTATATTGCAGTGACTTTTATATTGCGCCAGACGTCGTTACTCTTCACCTCTTTAAATGAACTTTACTTCACCTCAGATCCAGACATTAGAGGGTCTTTCAGGATCCATGGCATGTTACATGAGATCTTCCACACTCATGACCTAGGTGCATCTGATAGCCATTGTTTAATGTTGGCAATGGGGAAAAGATAAGAGGCAGGTCGAGACCCCCTCCTCCACCTTCTGCTGCTTGTCATACCACCAAGAAGGTATACACTCTGATGCAGTCGACGAGCATGAAGCAAGTGAAGGCAGGACTCGTTCCCAGGATCCCGCTGACCTGCTCCCCCGCTGACCAGCTCCATGCAGACCCCTGTTTGTCCACAAACACCGAGCAGAACACGGCCGACATCACACTGTGTGGTACACCAGATCTGATATCAGCAACAAAGACGGTCATCAATCTGCCAGTCAGTCCACAAATCACTGTGTGTGGATTTAAGTTATATCATATATCACTATTACTAACAGTAACACAACAGTGGGAAGAATACTGAGTGGGCACTGTCTCTGAATCTTTCTGTATGATTCAATTTGACTCTAAATGAAGCCGTTTTTATGTTTAAAATTGGTGTTTATCCAATGCTGTTTGGCGGATACAGGACGTCTGTTTTATCCGATAGCATAAGATCCAAATGTTCAGGAGGTTTTACCGAGAGCAGCATAACTCGCAGAAGTCTCTTCCTTTCCGAAACAAAAATACGTTAAATAGATCCGGTGAAATTGCTAAATAAAAAATGTTTATGTTAAAAATCATTGTTTCTTTAATGCTGTTTGCCGAACTTAGGATGTATGTTTGCTCAGCTTGTTCATCAGATAACTTAAAACAGGTTTTTACCAGGAGCTCGATTTTCCGAAGGTCTAATCCTCTACTAAAGAAATTCACCAGGTGATAAATCGAAAGAAAAAGTTATAAAAAAACTGTGTTCCCCAATTAACGTTTGCTCTGCTTGGTTTTCTAAGAAACTAAGATCAAGAAGTCAGATTTATACATTTATAGTGAAAAAACAACGAAGATTTAAAAAGTATATGTTACAAATATAACCCAACATTTGAATCAAAGTCCATTTTTTACACATTCTGGCAGGCAACTCTGAATAAGTCAAAGGTGATACATCCACTGTTACCTTTAGTCAAATTACCGAACTCTGAAAAGTTGTTGTTGTTTTTAGACGAGTTAACAATTAAATGTTACATATTATACCTTTGAGAGGTCTTGACTATAGACCTGATCCGAGATATTAAAAAAAGCAAAAAAAAATCCATTACTTGCACTCAAGTCCCTTCATTGCTTCCATGTTATTCTAATTTGGCCTCCTATACAACCAGGCAGCTGACTTATTGCACTGCGCCCTTTGACCGGAAACGTGCACGTTCTGACCTTTCGGGTGGTGTATGAAGTCAGTGCTTTAAATGGAGCTGAGACAGGAAGTTCAGGTTGACTAAAGTGTCTTTGTTGGAACTGTACACCAACAAGATGATGTTCTGAACCTCACAGTAGTGATTATTCACCCAAGGAGTGTTTTCTGTCACAAAGTGGTGTGTTTACTTCCATCGGGAGATAAAGAGGAAGGCGATAGCGAAGAAAAAAAAAAACAGTGACCTTTAAGGCAGAGCAGTTGACTCCAATGGATTTGCAGTGGAATCCAGCCACCACACCCAAAGAGGTCAAATGCCACATAGCAACAAGGGCTCTTTCTCAGCTCCCTAAAGAGAATACTGCGAAAAGGTGCATTGATTGATTACAACGAAAGATTTTCTCAAACTTATTTAACTTAAGTAACGGTATGATGCTGTGATACTGATATGTGCAAGAATGCTCATCGCGTGTTATTTTATGATCAGTTTTAATCAGAGTATTTCCAAAAGGCACTGAGCAGAACCTTGTCTTTTGTTTACAGTAATACCCAGCCATCTCTCATTAGGCAGACTGATGCAGTCTGCTGCCAGGGAGAAGGCTCCATCTGCTGGCCTCAAGGCCCCCAGAGCCTCTCAAAGTTCCTCCACACCATGAGCCTGTTCATTCCACATCTCTGCAGACCTAAAAACTCTGCAGTATGATACAATATCTACGAGTTAATAAATGTAACTTCATAATTTCTATTTTTAATTTTTATATTCCTCTATACATGTTACTGGGCATTGTGTGCATGTTAATGTAAGAACACTCTGTTTACTCTTAAGGACATTTGCAATACAGCTACAAGAGGTCGGGAGCGACTCAGACTGAGATTAGCAGTATAAATAATAATTTCTCGAGGCAATAAACAGACTTTATTTTCCAGGTATTGTCAGGAAATCTGGGTCATTAAAAACAAAATATCTTGTCGTTCCATGAATTTATGGGCTCTGAAGCTGCACATGAATGTCTGTTCCAAACGTTATGGCGATCCTTGGTGGCCAAAAATGTCAATCTGGTAGTCATGCTTGTTACGTGCCAGGCTGTACTTGTGTGGTTTTCCTTCCCTCCTGTGTTTCTCTCTTCTCCCTGTCTTCTGCACAGCTAATCAGCAGCTGATCGGTATCTGCCTGTGCACCTGAGTCTGATTAGATCCTCTCACCCTCAGCTGGCCTATCAGCAGCCAGGGCCGACCATAAAGGAGGCACCCAGGAAGTCTTCTCGCTCTCTCT